CCTCAGCGTCAAAAGCTAGGACACTAGGGGTAGCCATGACGACGACAGCGAAGCAGTGTAAGCGGTAGGGGAAGAGCACGCAGTGACAGCGGTACTGTGCTCACCGGGCAGGGCAGGTCGGGCAGCTCTGCAGAAGGGCGGCTCGGCGACTCAGCGACTCGGCTACTGGGCGGCTCGGCTCCCGGGCGGCTCGGAGACAGGGCGGCTCGGGTGCACTGCTGCTCGGTGGTCCGGCGGCTCGGCTGCTGCAGGTGGGCGGCTCGGCTGCTGCAGGTGGGCGGCTCGGCTGCTGCAGTTGGGCGGCGCGAGAGGAAGGGGGCGGCGGGGCCGGGTTGCAGGGACGGCGAAGGGCCGCAGTAGCGGCGGCCGTAGGGCCGCAGGTAGGAGGCGGCTGGGCCGCGCAAGGGCGGGGTGGCCGCGTCTGAGTGGGCGGCGGGGCCGCGGCTGAGGAGGCGGCGGGGCCGCGTCGGAGCGAGCAGCAGGGCCGCTGCTGAGCAGGCGGCGGGGCCGCGTCTGAGCAGGCGGCGGGGCCGCGTCGTAGCGGGCGGCGGGGCCGCGGCTGAGCAGGCGGCGGGGCCGCTTCCGAGTGGGCGGCGGGGCCGCGGCTGAGCAGGCGGCGGGGCCGCGTCGTAGTGGGCGGCGGGGCCGCGGCTGAGCAGGCGGCGGGGCCACGTCTGAGTGGGCGGCGGGGCCGCGTCTGAGCAGGCGGCGGGGCCGCGTCGGAGCGAGCAGCGGGGCCGCGGCTGAGCAGGCGGCGGGGCCGCGTCTGAGCGGGCGGCGGGGCCGCGTCTGAGCAGGCGGCGGGGCCGCGTCGGAGCGGGCGGCGGGGCCGCGTCTGAAGGGGCGGGCGGGGCCGCGTCCGAAGTGGGCGGCGGGGCCGCGTCTGAAATGGCGGCGGGGCCGCGTTCGAAAGGGGCGGCGGGGCCGCGTCTGAAAGGGCGGCGGGGCCGCGAGGGAAGGGCGACACGGAGGGTCGCTCGAGAGAGAGAAAAAAAAGGCTAGCGCGCCTCGGGGCGCGCTTCGGTGGGGCCTAGGCGAAGTTCCCACAGGGAACCCGCTCTATACCATGTGAGAATAGTAGAACAGGAATGAAATGACTAAGTGAACGTTTGGTACAAATACAAACCCTAGAGAGCTGTACCCCATATGTGCTACCCTACTATAGCCTACAACAGCTATGTCATATATATCTAACAGCTCGCAGATCGACAAATACGAGGGACGTGGGAGACATGAAGCCGCCACGAGAGACACATACAGCACTGTCGGAAGGTTGAAAATCGGTGGTGAGGCAAGTTACGTGCATCACACAGAGGCGCGATAGCCATCTGCAGAAAACGAAGGCGACCAAAGAGGGTTGCACTGGACATCCTGCACTGGACGTGCGCACGGTAAGACTAAAAGAGAGAATCACCCATGCTGCATATCTGCTGGTGGGGTCCGTCATGTCGCGACTCGAGACGCTGTTCCTTTCACAAACGAGGCGACGCATACTCCCTCTCAAGCGGTAGGATGTAAGTGGCTCGAAGTGAAGAACCGTGCAGCGCTTGTGATTGTAAGGACGCATGTCTTATGGCAAAAATTGTCTAAGGTCGACCCTATTACCGCGTTCTACTGTGGCAAAACGTCTCTTAAATACATCTGACCGTGCACAACCACTCTAGAAGTGCGAAATTTGGCCAAACTACGACCTCAAGGCCACTCGCCCTAAGTGCATGCACATGTTCTTGCTAATGGCTCGCTTTCTGGTGAGTGTCGCTGTAAAAAAAGGAAAGGCCTCCATTGGTCCCTGAAAGCTACAGTGATCGGTGATGACAGCCGTAGATAGGGGGGTCGCGTTGAAGATAAGTAACAACCCTAAATCTAGATGTACAAAATGGTAGGCTTATATAGATTACATTACAGAAGGTCTCTCTCAAAGATGCCATACTGAAAGCCACAGATTTGGTCAAGTGTTGGAAATTGTACGTGTGTGTTTGTTTTAGGATAGTCATAGCTATACATTGCATTAATACTGCTGAATCATGCACAAATATGCACATGGGATTGGTTTATGTCTCCAAACGCGCTCATATTTCGATGTCTTCTAGGGCTCATAAACACTTTGGTTGAGGTATAAATCTTCATTCAAGTGTCTCTACTATTTCCCCTAGTCCTCCTCTATTGTTTTGTAAAGAAAGGCTTATTTCCCTGAATTTTACAAGAACCGCCGTAACAAGCTATACCAACAAAGCTTCTAGCACTCAGCCTCTCATTCTCTGGCCATCACAGTTTGTGTCATCTCCACCTTTTGTGTTTATTATCAATGGAACCATGTGCTGCCTCTGTGACCTAGTAAGGTGCCAGGCTGTCAACATAGTTTTGGTTGTTTCACAGGCCATCATCATATATACCCATAAACAACGCAAGCGTGATTGGATGGGCCTGATCTCTTAACCAACTCACTCCCCATATGCAATGAGCTCCTCATACAAACCTCAGAGCGTTCAGAGAAGTGGAACACAGTGGCGTGAAGGCAAGCGTCAAGGCAAGTGTCATGGTTGAAAAAACAGCCCCATTGCACTTGATGCACCGGCTTGAGTTACAATGCTAGAGTGATTGGATGGGCCTGATATCTTAACCAACTCTCTCTCCATATGACATGAGCTCCTCAGACCAATCTCAGAGCCGTCAGAGAAGCGGAACACAGTGGCGTGAAGGCAAGCGTCAAGGCATGTGTCATGGTTGAAAAAACAGCCGCATTGCACTTGATGCACCGGCTTGAGTTACAATGCTAGAGTGATTGGATGGGCCTGATATCTTAACCAAATCTCTCCCCATATGCAATGAGGTAGAGGTAGCCGCCGTGACGTCAGCAGCGCCAGTAGTCCGGGGGTCACCCTTGCTCCGGTAGCCCAGCGAGCCTGCTGCGCCAGTCGCCCGTGGGTCCGTTGCTCCAGCCGCTCGTCTTAGCCGCGGAGCCAGTGACTCCAGTAGTCCGGATACCCTTGCTTGTGTCCGGTAGCCCGTGCGCGCCGCTCCTGTTGCATGTGTGTCTGCGGCTTCACCCGTCGCCTCCTATCTCCACTCCTCTCACAGTCCCTCTTCCTCCTCACTTGCCCTCTGTGACTGCCTCTAGTTTTGCTTGTGCTTGTGAACTATTTATGCGACTGCTTGCTGTGCTGATCATACCCCACTTTGCCTATGGGGGTGTGTCAGAATGTGTTATTTGTTTAGTCTACAGTGGGGTACTCTATAGTGAGTACAACCCAACTAGGGTTTACTATATGTATCCCATTGCTTGCTAGTAAAACTGTTTTTTTCTGTTTCAACTTTGTGCCTACTATTCTGACACACCCGTGCATGCATGACAAAGTTCACCACCACTCGCCGCAGCACTCGTTTTGTCTGCAACCAGGCATTATACAGGTCTGCATTACACATCGCCAGCCAAATTTGGGGAAGTGTGGTGGCGATTAAAGAACTTTCAGGAAATCCCGACTTCATGCTCCTCTGCATGAAAAGCAGGTTTTCTAGGTCCTGCTAGCGCTTCTCCGGACTCATCGCCATCTATCCTTGCTTCATAAATGAAACCACATTTTGTATTGCCGGGCAGCCAAGCAGGCAGTGTTCCTGCGTTTCTTCTCGTTCGCGATATATTCTATAGAGCGAAGGAAAGCACAGAATTGTGGAATGACGGGATGAAAGGTAACAAACCAACATACTAAAATATCAAATAGTGAAACAAGGTGAATGATAAAATTAGGTGCCAAAAAAAAAACCAATAATACTATATAAAAAAAAAACTCATATGAATGACCTTTAGGCTTCATGCATGCCCTATTTTATCAGTGTATCACTTTTTGGATGCTGATTATCAGTATATTGTCAGACTTATATGATCTAGCCTGTGTAGGCTGTAGCGGGTTAGATACTAAGGGGTACACAATTCTAGGGTTTCACATTTGTATCACACTCATTCCTTAGTCCATCATTCCTCGTTCTTTCACATGGTATAGAGCAGGTTCCCTAGTGGGAACGTTTCCTACGGCCCACCGAAAATTGATTTTTTTTTTTTCTGCCCGGAGCGCGCTTCGCCCTTGCCCGAGTTGCGCCCCGTGTGCCTACCCTCCCGTCGCCTCCCCTGCCCTTAGCGGCCCGTCGCGCTCTCTTACGGCCCCATAGCGGCCCCTCTCAGGGCCCCTCACGGCCCCTCTCACGGCCCTTCGCGGCCCCTTCTCGGCCCCGTCGCCGCCCTTCGCGGCCCCTCACGGCCCCGTTTCGGCCCCGTCGCCGCCCTTTCCGGCCCCTCACGGCCCCTTCTCGGCCCCGTCGCCGCCCTTCGCGGCCCCTTCACGGTCCTTCGTGGCCCCTTCGCCGCCCCTACCGGCCACTTCTCGGCTCCTCCGCGAACAGAAGCAGCCGCCGCCAGCAGCAGATGCCGCCGCCGACAGCAGCAGCCGACAGCAACAGCCGCCGCCGTCAGCAGCGGCGGCCGCCGACAGCAGCAGCCGCCGCCGCCGCTGCCGTGACAGCCGCCGCCACTGCCATGACAGCCGTCGCCACCACTACCGGGGCCACGGACGCCGCAGCCGCCGCTGCTGTGACCGCCGCCACCGCCGCTGCCGGGGCCGCAACCGCCGCCGCCGCCGACAGCAGGAGCCGCCGCCGCCGTCGCGGCCCTGTCCCTACCGACGCACCTCGGCCCTGCCCCACCACTTCCGGGCCCCTACCCACCTGCCCTAGTAAGAGCACCGCCGAGCCGCGCCTGCTGCTACTGCTACTAGCCTGCTGCTGCTGGTGTCATGGCTACCCCTAGCGTTCTCATCTTTGATGCTGAGGGTCGGGCTGTCGACTTTGATGTCAAGGTCGATGATCTGCAGCTTTTCCTGCAGTGAGATAGGAAAGACGGTCTCTCACTGTTCAATCTCACGTCTGGCGCCTCTCCTGCCCCTACTGCCAATGCTGACAGCACTGTTCGCTCCCAGTGAGCCACACACGATGTTGCTTCCCGTCTTGCTATGCGTAGTCACTTGCCGTCTACTGAGCGCGCACACTTTAGTCAGTACAAGAGTGCTAAGACCTTGTACGACGCTGTAGTTGCACGCTACTCTTCCCCTGCCACTGCTGCCCTTAGCCGCCTCATACTGCCGTACTTGTTCCCTGACCTCGCCGCCTCTCCCACAGTCGCTTACCTCATTACGCACCTTTGCACTAGTGACACCCGCTACCGCGCTGCGCTTCCTGCTGAGTTCTGCGCCAAGAACCCCCCCCCCCCCCCCCCCATGTACATCACCCTCTACTACATAGTCACCCGGCTCTCTGACTCCCTTCGCTGGGTCAGGGACCACTTCCTCTTTGTTTGCCCCACCACACTCACCGTTGACATCCTCGAGGAGCGCCTCCTGGCAGCTGAGAAGAGTATAGTCGCTGTAGGAGCCTTTTGTGGTGACCCTCGTACCCCCTTCTTTGAGGGGTGCTCCCCCTCACCACTTTTGCCCTCTGTTGCCTCTGCTGCTGCCGTCGACTTCGTTGGCACCGAGTCGGTCGGCGCTGCATCTGCCCCTAGCGGGAGACGCCGCACCGGCAAGGGCAAGGGGGGCAAGGACGCTGGAGGGGCTGGCGGGGGCGGTGGAGGTGGCGGTGGAGGCGGCGGAGGGAGTGGGGGTGGCGGTGGGAGTGGTGGCGGGGGTGGGGGCTTCGGTGGCGACGGTGGAGGCGGAGGCGGCGGCGGCGGTGGCGGTGGGAGCGGAGGAGGAGGCGGTGGCGGCGGTGGCGGAGGTGGCGGTGGCGGAGGTGGAGCTGGTCGGGGTGGCTCTGCGCAGCGGGGCGGCTTTGGTGGTGGTCAGCGCCTGTAGCAGCAGCGCACTCGTGAGACCCCGCCCCCCCAGCATCTTCTTAAGTGGTACGCTGCGCGTCAGCGGGGTGGGGGTGCTGGTCCTTGTGCCTACGTCCTGCATACCGGCGACCGCACTGGTGAGCCGTGCGGTGGCCCGCACACCACCCAACGCTGCTTCGGCCGCCTGACGGACGCTTGGCGTCTCCAGTTCCCTGACGCCACTGAGATCCCTCGCTCGGGCGAGCTGCTTAGGTCGGGGGTTGCTATCTTTGATCTTGATTATGATGCTATTCTGGTTGCCATGTATGTTGTGTCTACTAGTGATGAGGGTGACTGTTACCTGTGTGTTCCGCCTGACCCGGGCATTGAGGCTCTGCTCTAGGTGCTGGTGAGGCTGCTGCTCTAGGTGCTAGTGCGTCTGCTGCCCTAGGTACTGGTGCGTCAGCTCTCTCAGGTACCACGTCGGCTCAGGCCTTACACACCTTCACCCTTGACTCAGGTGCTTCCCGCTCCTTCTTTCGGACCGCACCACGCTTACGCCGCTTAGTCGGCCAGTTGTGGTCTCCCTGGCGGACCCCTCTGGGGGTCCTGTCCTTGCCCACTTCTCCACTGTCTTACCGTGTTCGGCGGCCCCCTCTGGCACCCTGTCAGGACTCTACCTCCCCTCGTTCTCTACAAACTTGGCGAGTGGTGCTGATCTACAGGATGAGGGGGTTGACCAGCTCACTCCTGCGTGTCAGCGAGTGACCCACTGCACGTGTGCTCGGACGGGCCGACACTTGGCCACGTTTACCCGTCAGCCGGGGTCGAGCCTGTACACACTGACTACTGAGTCTCCTCCGGTTGCTGAGTCTGGTCAGGTGGATGCGTCGGGTCAGGTGTTTGCTGCAGCGTCCAGGTCTGGTCCTGAGTCTGCTCCCTGCTCGTGTCATCTCCTGTCCCACCGGACTCTCCTCTGGCACCACCGCCTTGGTCACCCCTCCCTGCCTCGTCTCCGAGGCATGGCCTTCCGTTACCTTGTCTCTGGTCTCCCCCGGTCCCTCCCTCCCCTCCCTCCGGGGCCTGCCCCTACCTGCGTTCCCTGCGTCGAGGGGCGGCAGTGCGCCACTCCTCACTCCTCCGAGTGTCCTCCGACAGAGGCTCCGCTACAGACTCTTCACATGGACGTGTGGGGCCTTGCCCGCGTCCGTGGCCAGGGTCACGAGCGTTACTTCCTGTTGGTGGTTGACGACTACTCGCGTTACACCATGATTTTCCCCTTGCGCAGCAAGGGTGACGTCACTGAGGTGTTGATCGACTGGATCCGCGCAGCTCGTCTCCAGCTCAGAGAGAGTTTCGGCTCGGACTTTCCTGTTCTGCGTCTGCACTCTGACAGAGGCGGGGAGTTGTCCTCTGCCCGTCTGGGAGCCTTCTGTCGAGCACAGGGCATCCGCCAGACCTTCACGCTTCCGGCCTCTCCACAGCAAAATGGGATTGCTGAGCGCCGCATTGGCATGGTCATGGACGTCGCTAATACGTCCATGATTCATGCGGCTGCTCCCCATTTTCTGTGGCCGTTCGCGGTTCAGTACGCGGCGCATCAGATCAACCTTCAGCCCCGAGTCTCCTTGTCGGAGACCTCCTGTACTCTGCGGTGGACGGGGAAGGTTGGCCATGCGTCTGCGTTTCGTGTCTCGGGATCTCGTGCTTTTGTCCGCGACTTGTCTGCGGACAAGCTGTCCCCTCGTGCTGTTCCCTGCGTCTTCCTTGGCTTCCCCCCTAACGCGCCTGGTTGGCAGTTTTACCACCCCACCTAGCGCCGTGTTATGTCCTCTCAGGACGTCACGTTTGACGAGTCGGTTCCTTACTACCGTCTCTTCCCCTACCGCACTGCGCCCCTCCCCCCGCCGTCGCTCTTCCTTGCGCCAGGTCCCCCCTGGTAGACCCCCTTCCCCCTCAGGGTCCTGCCCCCTCAGGTGTGTCCCAGGTAGATGCGGTCGAGCTTGTCGAGGTAGCAGTTGACTCTGGTGCTCCTCGGGGTGCTGAGCCTGCGGGTGCGGGGCCTGGGGGTGCTGAGCCTGGGGGTGCTGTCTCTGGGGGTGCTGAGCCTGGGGGTGCTGCGTCTGGAGGTGCTGAGCCTTGGGGTGTTGGGTCTGGGGGTGCTGAGCCTGAGGGTGTGGAGCCTGAGGGTGTTGGGCCTACTCCTGTGGAGTCTGGCGGTGCAAGGTCTGGGGGTCCCTCGGGTACTTCGTCCCGGCGGGAGCTCCCCTCTCCTCAGGAGCTGCGCGAGTGGTTTGCTCGGCGCTGGAGCCGTGCTGCTGGAGCTGGAGAAGCTGGTGGCGCTGGCGGTTCTGCTGCTACCTAGGGTGTTGGTGCCACGGGTTTCGGAGGTGATCGTACTGGAGGTACTGGAGCTGCTGGGCCTGGGGGTGCTCCTTGTTCTGTAGCTGCTGGTGGTGCTGGAGCTGCTGGTGGAGCTTCTGGCGCACGTGCTGCTGGAGGTGCTGGAGCTGTGGCTGTCGAGTCTTCCGGTGGCCCGGCTGGAGCTGGAGCTGCTGGGGATGTTGGCGCTGGAGGTGCTGCTGGTGCTGGTGGTTCTGAGGGTGCTGGTGTTGGCGGTGCTGCGGCTGGGGGTACTACTCGTGCTGGTGCTGCCGCTGGGGGTGCTGGTGCTGTCCCTGCTGGTTCCGGAGGCGCTGTGCGGCCACGGCCGTACTTCGTTCCGCTCCTTGAGCAGGTTCTTCGTCTCCCGCCTTCTGCTGGTCCTGCTCCTTCCTTAGAGTGTCCGCCACCTGTCCAGTCTGAGTCGGAGTTACAGCCTGCCTCCCCACTGCCCGCTCCCTCTCCCTACATCGGTCCTACTGGAGGTCTTGCTGAGCGTCGTGCACCTGCGTCTCGTCCTACGTCGCCTGTTCGTGCTGCTCGCACTAGTAGTCGTGTTCCGCGTCCGCGTCCTCCTGCGTCCTTCCACTGCTCCTCTGCGTGTCCCGTTGCCGTCTCCTCCAGAGTCCTCTCTTCCTGCTCTTGCTGACCCGGCGTCTGACTCTCTTTGTGCTGCCAGTCCTACTATCACGCGTCTTCTGGCTACTGTTGTCACTGACCCTTCCTTTGCGTCCACTGTTGCGTCTGCCCTAGTTGCTGAGCTTGTCAACTTTGCTGCTCGCTGTCTTCTAGACTACGCCGCTAGTCTCGTTGCTGAGTCTGAGTTTGTCTGTTCTCCGTCCGTCGGGGGTGACTGTGCTCTTAGCACGGACGTCCTTGAGGATAGGCAGGAGGAGTTCCAGTGTTTTGCTGCTGCTTTGCCTCATCTCGTGTCCATGCTTATTGCACCTGAGGGAGACCCGGATGCACCAGACATCCCGACTCCTCGATCATACGCTGAGGCGATCGAGGGTCCCTACTCCTCACAGTGGTAGTCAGCCATGGACACAGAGATGGCTTCCTGGAAGTCCACAGGCACCTATGTTGACGAGGTTCCCCCACCTGGGGCGAACATCGTCAGTGGCATGTGGATTTTCAGGGTGAAGCGGCCGCCGGGTTCTCCGCCTGTCTTCAAGGCGCATTACGTGGCTCGAGGCTTCAGTCACCGGCAGGGAGTTGACTACTTTCAGACCTTCTCTCACACCCCAAAGATGACCACTCTTCGGGTGCTGCTGCACATAGCCGCTCAGCGCGACTACGAGCTTCACTCTCTTGACTTAGGCAGAGCTTTCTTGCAGGGCAGCCTGCACGAGGAGATCTGGCTGCGCTGCCCACCTGGCTTCACTGGGTCATTTCCTCCTGGTACGCAGTGGAGCCTCCGGCGGCCAGTCTACGGTCTCCGCCAGGCGCCTCGTGAATGGCACGACACACTGAGGACTACACTTGTGGCTCTTGGGTTTGCTCCTTCTACTGCCGACCCGTCGCTGTTTCTGCGCACCGACACCTCTTTGCCGCCGTTCTACATCCTCGTGTACGTCGACGACTTGGTCTTTGCCACTGCTGACACTGCTGGACTCGCCCATGTGAAGTCCGAGCTGTAGAAGAGACACACGTGCACAGACCTGGGTGAACTGCGCAGCTACCTTGGCTTGCAGATCACCCGGGACAGAGCACAGCGCACCATTACCCTGACTCAGTCACACATGGTGCAGCAGGTCCTTCAGCGCTTCGACTTCACGTACTCCTCGCCTCAGGCCACTCCTCTATCTACTCGCCACTCGCTCTCAGCTCTGCCTTCGGATGAGTCCGTAGAGCCGAGTGGCCCGTACCCAGAGCTTGTTGGCTGCCTCATGTACCTGATGACCTGCACTCGACCTGACCTTGCATATCCTCTTAGCATCTTGGCACGCTATGTTTCTCCTGGGAGACACCGACCAGAGCACATGGCTGCAGCGAAGAGGGTGTTGCGCTACTTGTGTAGTACGTCGGGCATGGGGCTAGTGCTTGGAGGGCGGCGTTCAGTGGTCCTCACAGGTCACGCAGACACTTCATGGGCTGACGACCAGGCTACGCAGCGGTCGTCACAGGGTTACACCTTCAGCCTTGGTTCCGGCTCTGTTTCGTGGCGGTCTACCCGCTTGTCTTCTGTTCTCGGCTCCAGCTGTGAGGCTGAGATCTACGCGGGGGCCATGGCTGCACAGGAGCTACGCTGGCTCACCTACCTGCTGACTGACCTAGGAGAGCCGCCTCGTTCTCCTCCAATTCTGTACGTAGACAACAAGGCCATGCTGGCCTTGTGTCGGGAGCACAGACTGGAGCACAGAACGAAGCACATTGCTCTTCGCTACTTCCTTGCTCGTGAGCTACAGTAGCGTGGTCAGCTGCGCCTTGCTTACGTGGTCTCTCAGGCCAACACTGCTGATATCTTTACCAAGGCACTTCAGCCTTGTGATCATCAGCGCTTTTGTACGATGCTAGGTCTTGTGCCTACTTGGCCTCACTTGCTCACTTCTTGACCTTGCTTGTACTGTGATCTATCTATACCTGCAATTGCTTGTTTACATTTATATATGATCTTGCATGTGAACTGGCCTTGTGGCCTTGAAGTTGTGCTCGGAATGTGTGGTGACGTTGTGATCCACCCTGAGCTTGCTTTGCTTTGCTTTGTTTGACTGGTCTTGTGACCCCTTGTTCTCCCCCACTTTGCCTATGGGGGTGTGTCAGACTTATATGATATAGCCTGTGTAGGCTGTAGCGGGTTAGATACTAAGGGGTACACAATTCTAGGGTTTCACATTTGTATCACACTCATTTCTTAGTCCATCATTCCTCGTTCTTTCACATATATATTTTTTAGGGTCACACATTTTTGCTAAAGGTTTTTCTTTTGAAATATTAGTTTTTCCCTAATCTGTTAGTGTAACGAAATATGTCACACTGATAACTCAGTGTAATGTTTTCCTTAGCGAATTTTACCCTGAACAGGGTACAAGGCACCTACCCCTCCCCCCCGGTGCGAATCTATTGAAACTCCCAGAATCTGGAGCTCATCGCCCTTTCCTCAGCCGAAGCTGGGTTCGTTGCCGCCAGCACAACTGTTCGCGAAGAACTGTACCTGATGGAGCTCTTGCAAGAGGCGAAAGTTACGATAAACAGGCACTTCACGTTATTCACCAGCAGTGAAAGCGCGATCGAAATCACGAATGAGCTCGGCTTGTGAACCGGACAAAGCACATCGCACACCGTTACTTCTTCGTCAAGGACGATATGGACAAGGGCAAAGTCAAACTCACGTATTGCCCAACTGGTGATATGGCTGCATATTTTTTTACGAAGAAGCTGCCACGTAAGAAGTTTCAACTATTGAGATAGTAGCACAAGTGGTAGTTAGGTTTAGGTAGGGCCTAGGCTTAGTAGCCTCGGCCAAGGGTTTGTCGAGATAGTTGTGGCAAGGAGAAGTTGAGAATGGGAATGGTGTTTAGGGTTTAGGGTTTAGAAGGTGCACCACCTACAGTTTATAATAACTACACAAAACTACAGCTACAGGCAGTTACATATATATTCTAACATCAACACTACTCCGACCTCTACGGGATCTCGAAGAAATCCCACGTGGCTCACCTTTAGTAATGAAGGGGAGTGTTGGAATAAACTTCTTAGAATAAGGATCTTGGATAGGATAGGTCTGCCTTAGAGAATTGGTAGCGGAAGTCTTCGGGGTAGGAACCTTGTGCATAGTGGATGTAGATGACAAGAATGATTAAACTACAAAATTACACGCATCTAACTAGCCATGTACTCTAAGGGGTACGCTCCCTTATTATAACTATTTTACATGCATTTCTACAGTAACCCCGACTCTTGCTATTTTTATGTTACTGGGTTGCTGCATATGACTGTTTAGACTGTTATGCCTGTTGCCATTCTTCGCGTGCAACCGTTCGGTCCAGATGGTCAACAGTCGCAACAGTTGGCTTGCGACTGTTGACCTTCCTACCCCTTATGGGCTGATCCAATACTACCGCTGTTATTGCTTCGGTAGTGGTAGATGCGATCTAGCTGCATCTATGGGAATGCTATAGTTAATTCCCGCTTACTCCAACACTCCCCTTCATTCCTGGAGGTGCGCCACATGGCTCTTCTTGGCGACTCCGTACAGGTCCGCGCAGTACTGAAACTTTTGACGTGGTAGTTTCTTTGTTAGAAATTCAGCTGCCATTTTGCCTGTTGAGAAGTAGGTGAGCTGGACCTTGCCTTTCTCGATTTTGTCCTTGATAAAGAAGTAACGTAGGGCGATGTGCTTTGTGCGGTTGACGAAGCCGGACTTGTTCGCGATCTTGATCATGCTCTGGTTGTCGAACAGTATCTTAAATGGCTCGTTCATCGCCATCTTGGTCTCCTGTAGGAGCTCCGTGAGGTCGGGTCCTTCGCGAACTGCTACACTTGCGGCAATGAATCTTACTTATGTTGACGAAAGGGCGATTAGCTCCTGCTTCTGTGAGTTCTAAGAGATGGTCCTTGTAGGCTCGTGCTTGAAAATGAAGCGTGTGGGGGACCTCCTCTTGTCTGCATCTCCAGCGTGATCAGCGTCCATGTAGCCAGTAAGCTGTAGAATAGCTGTTAAATTCGCTTTGTAGGTGAGGCCGACGTCAAGTGTGGAGATGAAGTATTATAGGGCGCGTCGTAGGTCCGCCATATGCTCCCCTTCAGGTCGGCGCAGGTACTGGGCGAGCTGGCTAGCAGCGTACAATAAGTACGGGCGGCATGTGACGGCGGCAAAGAACAGACACCCGAGCTGCTTCTGGTAGAGACGATGATCGGCAACGGATAGTGGGGTGGGGTCGGGTTCGTGGTTAGGAGGAGGGATGCGGAAGGGAGCGGTGATGCCGCGGGACTCGAGGCGGTACATCCCTTCATTGTGGGGAAGTTGCTGGATGCCGCGCTCGATAAGCATGGTGTGGAGGTACTGCAGCCACAGGCGCGTTGCCTGCTTGATCTCGTCCTCTTCAAATGCATGCGGCTTCTCGACATAGATGATTGTGGCGATGATCTTGTAGAGAAACGCGTTGGACACGTCGATCTGGTGGAGGGGGCGCTGCTTCACGGGTGCGACGCAGATGAGGGCGTGTCCAGCGCGTACGTTTACGAGTACTATACAGTTCATTCGTAGTGGTTTGAAAAGATATCAAGCGGTGCACAACGGTTCGGAACCTTGATGCAATACAGATTACCGCACTGGATGAACTGTAATGTACGGTAAACGTACGCGCTGGACCCGCCCTGAGGATTCGTACGAAGATGTGACGACCGACAGGTGCGAATGTTTTGTCGTAGTCCACGAATTGGGTTTCTTCGAAGTTGCGAACGACCCATCGTGCCTTGTGCTTGTGGACAGCGCCGTCCGCAAGCATCTTGATCCTGAAAACACACTTTCCCATAAGGATTTTCCTCCCATTTGTGGGTCGTCGTGGTACCATCTTCCAGGTGCCGTGCCGTTGGAGTGCAGCGACTTCTGCAGCCATGGGTGCTCTCCATTTCTCAACATCGGGTCTGCTCAGATCCTGGCAAACGGTAGTAGGCTCAACCAGTTGCTGGTTACCATGGATGGCAACGCAGACCCATGATACGAAGTCCGGTGAGGTTGTATTGGTAACTTCGACCACGTCGCCATTGTTGCCGGAGATGTCGTGAACAGTGTCGCGAGAAGAGTTGCGGTCGGGATCTTCCTCTTTGGGTGAGTGCATTTCTGCACTTGCGTATTGATGCTGTGCCTGTACTGTTTTGTGTTGATCAGGTTCAGTTGGGAAAAATGTCGATGTGTCAAACTCCTCCGTAACGGGTACAAAGGGTGCCTCTCCTCCAGCTGGCTCCTCAGGCTGTTCTCCCGCCACGTCAACTTTGTCCTGATCGCTTGCGTAGCTGTGATGTCCCTAGAAAATATTGTCCGGTACGTCTCGTGCATTGCGGTGTTGTTGATACAGTGGTAGGGTCAGCCTTTCGTAGAAGATGCAGTCACGTGAACACGTGACTTGGTGGGTGGCGAAGTCAAGGATGGTGCAGCGCGGTACTCCAATTCGATTTTGAGATGAATGCCCCAGCGGGCACGGTCTTCAAACTTTTCAGTTCGTGCAGTGTGGAGACGGTACTGTACTATGCATCCGAAGACCCGAAACATGCGTGTGTTTGGATTTTTGCCGGTCGTTCCTTGAACAGTGAAGTGTTGTCGGGCAGGGCTTTCGAAGAAAGCATGTTGTGCAGACGGACTGCATGCGCCATCGCGAAGGGCCAATATTTGGTTGACACACCTGACTACTTCATGAGAGCTCGCATCTTTGTCGCGAGGCTCCTGTTGGTTCTCTCCGCTAGTCCCTGTTGCGCATGAGCGTAGGAAAGGGAAATCATCCTATGAATTCCCAGTTCCGTACAAAGGTTGTTGAAGTCCTCTTTCTGATACTCCAGAGCTCCATCGGTCTGGAAGGCTTTCAGCGTCTTGTCTTCGCTCTCGGTTTTCGCCATCGTGAGCCACAGGTAGAAACACTAGTAGGCGAGGTAGTGGTGACTGACATTCACAGCCCAGACGAAGCGCATTCCGGCGTCAAGGAAGGTAAGGGTGTACTACTCTCCTCCGGGTCCTTTTGCCGTGAGCACCAGGAAGTCACTGTAGAACTTGTCAAGTGAGTAGTATCGCTCGGCTCTATGTATCTTTTCGGCGAACCGGGTGTGGCGCAAAGCTGCTTCTGGGCAGATGGTGTAGTTGGGTAAGCCCTTTCTTGGTTGGAGCAACTTTCCATCTAGCAGCAACAATGCGTCTTCCGCAAATACTTTTGCGTTGATGCAGTTGTTGAGCACTTCAATTCATGGGTGCCGAAATTCTTTGTGCCAGATGTCCGCGTCGGCGCGATATCCCTTAATGCGTGCGTAATGTCAAACTTATATACTATAGTCTTTCTAGGCTGTAGTGGGGTAGACACTATAGGGTACAACATTTCTAGGGTTTCCTACTTGTACCCACTTGTTTCCTAGTCATTTCATTCCTCGTTCTTTCACATGGTATCAGAGCAGGTTCCCTAGTGGGAATGTTTCATAGGGCCCACCACGATCGATTTTTTTTTTCCTGCCCAGAGCGCGCTTCGCTCCTGCCCGAGTCGCGCCCCGTGTGCCTGCCCTCCCGTCGTGTTTCCTGCCCTTAGCGGCCCGTCGCTCCCCCCTTAAGGCCCCTCGCGGCCCCTCTCACGGCCCTTCGCGGCCCCTTTGCGGCTCCCTCGCGGCCCCTCCGCCGCCCTTTGCGGCCCCTCTCACGGCCCTTCGCGGCCCCTTACCGCCCCTCTTGGCCCCTTCGCGGCCCCTCGCGGCCCCTTCACAGCCCCGTCGCCGCCCTTCGCGGCCGTGTCGCCGCCCTTCACGGCCCCGTCGCCTCCCTTCGCGGCCCCTCGCGGCCCCTTCTCGGACCCGTCGCTGCCCTTTGCGGCCCCTCACGGCCCCGTCTTGGCCCCGTCGCCGCCCTTCATGGCCCCTCACGGCCCCTTCTCAGCCCCATCGCCACCCTTCGCGGCCCCTCACGGCCCCTTCGCGGCCCCTTCACCGCCCCTAGCGGCCCCTTCTCGGCTCCTCCGCGGCCCCTTCTCGGCTCCCTCACGGACCTGCCCCCCCGCCGTCGCCGCCCCTGCAGCAGCAGCCGTCACCGCCCCTGCAGCGGGAGCCGCCACCGTGGGTGCCGCCGACAAAAGCAGCCGCCGCCGCCACTGCCGGGGCCGCAGCCGCCGACAGCACCAGCCACCGCCGCCACAGCCGGGGCCACAGCCGCCACAGCCGCCGACAGCAGCAGCCGCCGCCGCCACAGCCGGGGCCGCAGCCGCCGCAGTCGCCGACAGCAGCAGCCGCTGCCGCCACTGCCGGGGCCGCAGCCGCCGACTGCAGCCCCCACCGCCGCCGACAGCAGGGGCCGCCGCCGCCGTCCTGGCCTTGCCCTGCAGAGAGGAGTGGCAGTACTCTGCCGCCCTGTAGCGGCTCTGTCCCTACCGGTGCGCCTCGGCCCTGCCCAACCACTTGCGGACCTCTACCCACCTGCCCTGGTAAGAGCACCGCCGAGCCGTGCCCCTACTGTTGCTACTGCTGCCACTGCCCCTTGCCTGCTGCCACTGCTGTCATGGCTACCCCTAGCGTTCTCGTCTTTGATGTTGAGGGTAGGGCTGTTGACTTTGAGGTCTGGGTCGATGATCTACAGCTTTTCCTACAGTGCGATACGAAAGACGGTCTCTTACTGTTGGATCTCACGTCTGGCGTCTCTGCTGCCCCTGCTGCCGATGCTGACAGCACTATTCGCTCACAGTGGGCCACACGCGATGCTGCTGCCCGTCGTGCTGTGCGTAGTCACTTGCCGTCTACTGAGCGCGCGCACTTTAGTCAGTACAAGAGTGCTAAGACCTTGTACGACGCTGTAGTTGCACGGTAATCTTCCCCTGCCACTGCTGCCCTTAGCCGCCTCATGCTGCCGTACCTTTTCCCTGACCTCGCCGCCTTTCCCACAGTCGCTGACCTCATTACGCACCTTCGCACTAGTGACACCCGCTACCGCGCTGCGCTTCCTGCTGAGTTTTGCGCCAAGAACCCTCCCCCCATGTACATCACCCTCTACTACATAGTCACCCGGCTCTCTGACTCCCTTCGCTGGGTCAGGGACCACTTCCTCTCAGTTTGCCCCACCACACTCACCGTTGACCTCCTCGAGGAGCGCCTCCTGGCAGCTGAGAAGAGTATAGTCGCTGTAGGAGCCTCTTGTGGTGACCCTCGTACCCCCTTCTTTGAGGGGTGCTCCCCCTCACCACTTTTGCCCTCTATTGCCTCTGCTGCTGCCGTCGACTTCGTTGGCACCGAGCGGAGGAGGAGGCGGTGACGGCGGTGGCAAAGGTGGCGGTGGCGGAGGTGGAGCTGGTCGGGGTGGCTCTGCGCAACGGGGCGGCTTCGGTGGTGGTCAGCGCCAGCAGCAGCAGCGCACTCGTGAGACCCCGCCCCCCCAGCAGCTTCGTGAGTGGTACGCTGCGCATCAGCGGGGTGGGGGTGCTGGTCCTTGTGCCTACGTCCTGCGTACCGGCGACCGCACTGGTGAGCCGTGCGGTGGCCCGCACACCACCCATCGCTGCTTCGGCCGCCTGATGTACGCTTGGCGTCTTCAGTTCCCTGACGCCACTAAGATCCCCCGCTGGAGCGAGCTCCTTAGGTCGGGGGTTGCTATCTTTGATCTAGATTATGATGCCATTCTTGCTGCCATGTATGTTGTGTCTACTAGTGATGAGGGTGACTGTTACCTGTGTGTTCCGCCTGACCCGGGCATTGAGGCTGCTGCTCTAGGTGCTGGTGAGGCTGCTGCTCTAGGTGCTAGTGCGTCTGCTACCCCAGGTGCTGGTGAGTCTGCTCTCTCAGGTACCACGTCAGCTCAGGCCTTACACACCTTCACCCTTGACTCGGGTGCTTCCCGCTCCTTCTTTCGAGACCGCACCACGCTTACGCCGCTTAGTCGGCCAGTTGCGGTCTCCCTGGCGGACCCCTCTGGGGGTCCTGTCCTTGCCCACTTCTCCACTGTCTTACCGTGTCCGGCGGCCCCCTCTAGCACCCTGTCAGGTCTCTACCTCCCCTCGTTCTCTACGAACTTGGCGAGTGGTGCTGATCTACAGGATGGGGGGGTTGACCAGTTCACTCCTACGAGTCAGCGGGTGACCCACTGTACGTGTGCTCAGACGGGTCGACACTTGGCCACGTTTACCCGTCAGCCGGGGTCGAGCCTGTACACACTGACTACTGAGTCTCCTCCGGTTGCTGAGTCTGGTCAGGTAGCTGCGACGGGTCAGGTGTTTGCTGCAGCGTCCAGGTCTGGTCCTGAGTCTGCTCCCTGCTCGTGTCGTCTCCTGTCCCACCGGACTCTCCTCTGGCACCACCGCCTTGGTCACCCCTCCCTGCCTCGTCTCCGAGGCATGGCCTCCCGTTACCTTGTCGCTGGTCTCCCCCGGTCCCTCCCTCCCTCCCTCCGGGGCCTGCCCCTACCTGCGTTCCCTGCGTCGAGGGGCGACAGCGCGCCGCCCCTCACTCCTCCGAGTTTCCTCCGACAGAGGCTCCGCTGCAGACTCTTCACATGGACGTGTGGGGCCTTGCCCGCGTCCGTGGCCAGGGTCACGAGCGTTACTTCCTGTTGGTGGTTGACGACTACTCGCGTTACACCACAGTCTTCCCCTTGCGCATCAAGGGTGACGTCACTGAGGTGTTGATCGACTGGATCCGCGCAGCTCGTCTCCAGCTCAGAGAGAGTTTCGGCTCGGACTTCCATGTTCTGCGTCTGCACTCTGACAGAGGCGGGGAGTTTTCCTCCGGCCTTCTGGGAGCCTTCTGTCATGCACAGGGCATCCGCCAGACGTTCACGCTTCCGGCCTCTCCACAGCAAAATGGGATTGCTGAGCGCCGCATTGGCATGGTCATGGACGTCGCTTGTACGTCCATGATCCATGCGGCTGCTCCCCATTTTCTGTGGCCGTTTGCGGTTCGGTACGCAGCGCATCAGATCAGCCTTCAGCCCCGGGTCTCCTTGCCGGAGACCTCCCCCACCTTGTGGTGGACGGGGAAGGTTGGCGATGCGCATGCGTTTCGTGTGTGGGGATCTCAGGCGTTTGTCTGCGACTTGTCTGCGGACAAGCTGTCCCCCTGTGCTGTTCCCTGCATCTTCCTTGGCTTCCCCCCTGACGCGCCTGGTTGGCAGTTTTACCACCCCACCTCGCGCCGTGTTCTGTCCTCCCAGGACGTCACCTTTGATGAGTCGGTTCCTTACTACCGTCTCTTCCCCTACCGCACTGCGCCCCTCCCCCCGCCGCCGCTCTTCCTTGCACCAGGTCCACGCCCAGTAGACCCTCTCCCCCCTCAGGGTCCTGCCCCGTCAGGTGTGTCCCAGGTAGACGCAGTCGAGCCTGTTGAGGTAGCTGTTGACTCTGGTGCTGCTAGGGGTGCTGAGCCTGGGGGTGCTGAGTCTGGGGGTGCTAAGCCTGGGGGTGTTGAGCCTGGGGGTGCGGAGCCTTGGGGTGCGGAGCCTGGGGGTGCGGAGCCTGGGGGTGTTGGGTCTGCTCATGTGGCTTCTGGCGGTGCTGGGTCTGAGGGTCCTTCGGGTGCTTCGTCTTGGCGGGAGCTACCCTCTCCACAGGAATTGCGCGAGTGGTTTGCCTGGCGCAGGAGGCGTGCTGCTGGAGGTGGAGGTGCTACTGTTGTTGCTGACCCTGGGGTCGGCGCTAGAGGTACTCGAGCCACTGGTCCTGGAGGTGCTCGTAGTGGCGGTACTGGAGCTGCTGGGACTGGGGGTGCTGCTGGGGCTGCTGGAGTTGGTCCTGCTAGAGGTGCTGCGGGTGCTGCTGGAGGTACTGGAGCTGCCGGGGGTGTTGGCGCTGGAGGTGCTGCTGGCGCTGGTACTTCTGAGGGTGCTTGAGTTGGCGCTGTTGGAGCTCAAGGTATTGCTGGGGCTGGAGCTGCCGCTGGGGGTACTCGTGCTGTCCCTGCTATTTCAGGAGGCGCTAAGCGGCCTTGGCCGTACTTCGTTCCGCTCCTTGAGCAGGTTCTTGGTCTCCTGCCTTCTACTAGTCCTGCTCCTCCCTTAGAGTGTCCACAGCCTGTCCAGTCGCAGTCACAGTTACAGCCCGCCTCCTCCCTGCCTGCCCCTTCTTCCTGCACTGGTCCTACTAGAGGTCTTGCTGAGCGTCGTGAGCCTGCGTCTCGTCCTGCGTCGCCTGTTTGTGCTGCTCGCACTAGTAGTCGTGTTCCGCGTCCGCGTCCTCCCGCAGTCCCAGGCACACACCAGATGGCACTGCGTCCTTCCACTGCTCCTCTGCGTATCTCGTTGTTGTCTCCTCCAGAGTCCTCTCTTCCTTTTCTTGCTGACCCGGAGTCTGACTCTCTTCGTGCTGCCAGTCCTACTGTCACGCGTCTTCTGGCTACTGTTGTCACTGACCCTTCCTTTGAGTCCACTGCTGCGTCTGCCTTAGTTGCTGAGCTTGTCGACTTTGCTGCTCGCTGTCGTCTAGACTACGCCGCTAGTCTCTTTGCTGAGTCTGAGTCTGTCTGTCCTCCGTCCGTCGGGGGTGAGTGTGCTCTTAGCACGGACGTCCTTGAGGACAGGCAAGAGGAGTTCCAGTGTTTTGCTGCTGCTTTGCCTCATCTCGTGTCCATGCTGATTGCCCCTGAGGGAGACCCGGATGCACCAGACATCCCGACTCCTCGATCGTATGCTGAGGCGATCGAGGGTCCCTACTCCTCTCAGTGGCAGTCAGCCATGGACGCAGAGATGGCTTCCTGGAAGTCCACAGGCACCTACGTCGACGAGGTTCCCCCACCTGGGGCGAACATCGTCAGTGGCATGTGGATTTTCAGGGTGAAGCGGCCGTCGGATTCTCCACCTGTCTTCAAGGCGCGTTACGTGGCTCGAGGCTTCAGTCAGCGGCAGGGAGTTGACTACTTTCAGACCTTCTCTCCCACCCCGAAGATGACCACTCTTCGGGTGCTGCTGCACATAGCCGCTCAGCGCGACTACAAGCTTCACTCTCTTGACTTCAGCACAGCCTTTCTCCAAGGCAGCCTGCACGAGGAGATCTGGCTGCGCCGCCCACCTGGCTTCACTGGGTCGTTTCCTCCCGGTACCCAGTGGAGCCTCCGGCAGGCCAGTCTACGGTCTCCACTAGGCGCCCCGTGAGTGGCACGACACACTGAGGACTACCTTTGTGGCTCTTGGGTTTGCTCCTTCTACTGCCGACCCGTCGCTGTTTCTGCGCACCGACACCTCTTTGCCGCCGTTCTACATCCTCGTGTACGTTGACAACTTGGTCTTTGCCACTGCTGACACTGCTGGACTCGCCCACGTGAAGTCCGAGCTACAGAAGAGACACACGTGCACAGACCTGGGTGAACTGCGCAGCTATCTTGGCTTGCAGATCATCCGGGACCGAGCACAAGGCACCATTACCCTGACTCAGTCACACATGGTGCAGCAGGTCCTTCAGCGCTTCAACTTCACGTACTCCTCGCCTCAGGCCACTCCTCTTTCTACTCGCCACTCGCTCTCAGCTCTGCCTTCGGATGAGTCCGTAGACCCGAGTGGCCCGTACCCAGAGCTTGTTGGCTGCCTCATGTACCTGATGACCTGCACTCGATCTGACCTCGCATACCCTCTTAGCAACTTGGCACGCTATGTTGCTCCTGGGAGACACCGACCAGAGCACATGGCTGCAGCGAAGAGGGTGTTGCGCTACTTGTGCAGTACGTCAGGCATGGGGCTAGTGCTTGGAGGGCGGCGTTCAGTGGTCCTCACCGGTCACGCAGACGCTTCTTGAGCTGACGACCAGGCTACGCAGCGGTCGTCACAGGGTTACACCTTCAGCCTTGGTTCCGGCTCTTTTTCGTGTTGGTCTACCCGCTCGTCTTCTGTTCTCAGCTCCAGCTGTGAGGCTGAGATCTACGCGGGGGCCATGGCTGCACAGGAGCTACGCTGGCTCACCTACGTGCTGACTGACCTCGGAGAG